AAGAACTGTTAGGTACCTCCTCCCGTACCTTTTCTAGCTGGCCTGCATGCACTTACGTACTCCCCTTTTGTCTCCTTTTGTTCCGTTGGCCTGGGTAGCTACTTGCGCGCCCATATTTGCCATAGCTACCCAGGCCCTTTATCTTGCCGTTCAGACTTGATCTCTCTCTCTCTCTTTTCTCACTCGTCAATAATCACCATGTAGTCGTTTCGTTCGTCTTGGTCTCTTGTCTCGTCGTCTATAATAAATGTCGTTCCCCCAACCTACCTGTTCCCGTTGTAATGTCTGGATAATGTGTCGTCAGTCGTCCTGTTTCGAACTCAACAGAACTAGAAACTCGCTCTCACTCCCTAAGTGTAACTCATCCCTTCTTTTGCGCTCCCCTCTCTTTATTGCTTATTCTGTTTGGCTCACTCTACCAGAGAAGTTAAGGATCTGACCTCACTCTGCCTGTTTAACCCTTTACCGATCTACCATAAGCGAACCGATACTATAGTATCGGTATGTTTGGCCCCCATTTTTTGGGGTCTTGTTGCTAGGAGACAGCTAAAATGGCGCTCTACGCGTAGCTGAGGTCCAAGGCTTTCTGACGATGTACAAAACAACCATGCTTACCATACAAATTTTTGCCGTATCGATCGACTGAAGTTTGTTGAAATTGGAAAAGACGACCATCCGCCATGCGTGCATTTCGAGAATGCGAGTGCATCTCTTGGGGCCAAGTTTGACAAGCGTTCTGGGAGCAGTAACACCACCAGTCCAGGCTGGATCTCCCAGGAGGTTTTGCAGTGTAGTGTGTTGAGAAAAAGAGCTCCGTTGAGTCCTGCTAGTTCAAACATATATCGTCCACGAATGAAGAAACAAAATTCTCCAAACACAGAGGAAGCCTTCTTGCTGTCGACACGGCGACAGCAACTGTCTCAAGGACTCGTCAGGTGCGATCAGCTGATTCGCCTGGCCGTGAGAATCACGGCATGCGTAAGCTCGCGCCTGAGTGCTCATCTGAGCGAGAGTGAATCTGACGCGAGCAGCCCTGAGATGAACAAACCGAAACTGCGATATCGTGGAATGGGAATTGCTGCTGCTGGTGTATCGCGGATGGCAAGGTTTTGGTGTTCAATGGCGGTATTGTAGAGAGCCTACATTTCTTGTACAGACGTAGCCCTTACTTGATTGTTTATCGTATGACTTGAGCTCCATCACGAATGTTACAGGGAAGAATTCAAAATTCCGATACACGTGCACAGGCACACTCTCCGAACGCAAATGGGACAACACACCATTACTAGACGTTCTGGATTTCTCCTTGCAAAAACACTTCAACCATAACCGCCATAACTCTAAAACCAAAACTGCAAAAGGAAGCAAAAAAGGGCCAGCAAAGGCACAGCGCGTTTGCGCCACGACATACACGGACACGTGACACAAAAGGCATCATAGCTAGTGCGAGCATGACTCATAGTCATAGCTCAGTCCACGGGTGTTTCAGCAGCACCACTTAAAAATATGGCGTCATTTCGCGCGGTTTGGCAGGATTATGTTAGATTCGGCGCGAGTTATGAATTTATCAGAGTGTACCTAATCGATTTTCTTATTCACTTAGGTTTATCAGCGATATTTCGGTTTAGCAAAAGAGACAAACTATTTTTCAAATTCTACGAGTGAACAAGAATTATTTGGACAAGAAGCACAATCATGTTGACAGGTTCTCAGCTGGCGAACAGACAGTTATACACTAGTTTGCTCACTTACCGAGGACTTCTTCTGTCAGTTTGGCTGTCCAGCTCGTGCCGACCTACTGTTCCTGCGACTTTCTCTTCCGTGGCGCAGGACGCAGTGCTATCGCCTCGTTCGTCGTCGTCAGGAGGTGCTGTGCTGCAACAGTTTGGAGGCGCAGCAGTTCTCGAGGAATAGACTTGTACTTGAAGTTCAGAGAATTCAGTGAAGAGTGGAGACTCTCTGCACCTTGTTCTGCGAGGAGGCCCAATCCTACGCGGACTCGTTTCATCAGGGGAACTGTGTGTTCTTCTAATAGGTGCAACTTCGGCGTGATGTGGCCGAATTTCCTGGACACTACTTCATTCCTGCAGAGGGCCAGGAATTTCTCGATGTCTTGTTGGAGTTGACCCAAGTCAGCGTCATCGACTGGTTTGCAGTGGCTGAACTTGGCTCGACACGTTGCGTAGCTGTTCATGAGAGCTACGTATCTATCCGCAATTTTAGTGGCCTCAGGACACAAGTCAGGACACCTTGTTTGGACTGACGAAAGATGTGCGGAGGTGATGGCAGTGACCACGGTGGGTTTCAAGGCTTCGTGGATGTGGTTACCAACGAAAGCACCACCGTGGTATACCTGACGCTCAATGCCATGAAGCTGTAGGACTGGCTCCAGTGCCGCGACGCATGGGCCACAGAATTGCTTACAGCCGCTCAGTTTGTCTACTTGCTGCTGAAGTTGTGCTGACCGCTGCTGGTGATGGTCACGCTGCAGTATTGCTGTTTGGTACACTTCTTGCAAGTTGGCGACAACACCAAGCTCGTCCATGCCGCCTTGCTGCTGTACGTGCAGGGCAACAAATTCAAGCTGTTCCTGAGTCGTAGTTAGCTGCTGGTTGAAATTCTGGACGAGCTGCTGTTCAGCAGTCAGTTCGCTATGTACATCGCACAGCTTCTTGTACGCAGCACCATCCGTGTCTAGTGCCTGGCTTCTTGCCACCAGTGCCAAGTCCAGTATTCGGAGCTCGCTCCGCATAGCTTCGAACAGCCAGGGGTAGATCCCGAGATCCAAGTGTAAGACTGGAATGATGACGTTCGGGATTGACACAGGCAGAACAATTGGTCGAATCACGTTGTTATATTTCTTTGCCTGCGCCAGCTTTGAGCCTGCTGCTACATATTGGCTGTGGTCGCTTGCTAGAGATGCTAGTGTGCGTGGTTCTCTCTCGGCCTCCTCTCTCGCATCACTCTCAAGCTCCATGCTCTTCTTCGTGCATAAACAATGGAGACATGGCCGGAGTCCAGATGAGCCAGACAATCCAAAGTTGACAGTCTGAAACTCATAGTCCCCGAATAAATAAATCTTCATTGTCTTGCCTTTCCAGGAAGTCTGCTGAAGCTGCTGAAGCTGGGGTCGGTATTGTCCCAATGCCGTCTCCAAGTTTGCAGGCGTGTCTTTGCCGTTGAAGATGCAGAACGGTATTATGTTTGTGAGTGAATTCGGATGCTCGGTGTTGACGATCTGAAAGCTTAGCTTGAACGATCCACCTCCGTGATCTCCGCCAATCTTAATCCAAATCTCTGACTCAGGAATAGCTCCACCATGCCATGTTAGTCGGCTACTGTCCTGCAGCTGGTCCAGAAAGAATATGACAATATCCACCAAGTTAGGGAAGAGCACAGTTGCTATCATCGTAACTCCGCCATCCTTGTCTGTCATAGGGAGCTCTTTGGCGGTGTATGAAGGCAGCTTCGAAGCTATAAATGTGCGGACTGTCTTCTCGGATTCCATTTCAACGCCAAATTCGTGTAGCCAGCGACGTAGCTTCCGCAACTGACTCCACGGGAGGCTGAGGTCTGCCTTTATAGCCAGTGCACTGCCGGGTGACGGCTTCTTGGCCTTGATGCCAGCATCTAACAGAAGCTGCTCCTGTTCAGCAGCAGACAATCTCTGCAAGCCAGCCACCTCTTGTGCTCTGGCTCCAGCCACACCACCGCACACTGTCTCAGCATGTCTCGTCAATTCTGAGGATCTGCGGCGCAAAGTTGTGTCAGCAGCTCGGTCAGACGGCACATTACTCACAACAGCCCGTTGATAGACCTGTGGCTTGCCATGTGATGCTGTCCTTACCTCCAACCGCCCGTCATGCACCCTTGCTGCCACCAGGTGACCTGTTAGACGGTCAGCTACGTTGCCGCACAACTTGGACGGTGATGCGGACAGCACGTCCTCGACAGTCGAGCTTTGTCTAACGGTGCGGATTGGAGCTGTCGTCGTGGCTGGATTGAACTGGCATGCTGCAACATGCTTTCGCAGATCTCTCAGCGGAGTAACCACCGGGCAGCCTTGCAGAGATGGCTTGTGGAAGTCACACCGGAGTGTCCAACCATCCATCATCCTGCGTGGAACCTTTCCTGGCGTCTTTAGCTCAGATGCCTTCAAACAGTTGGCACATGCAGGACATTGCTTGTGCGTTGCTAACCATTCACACATGCAGTCTGCACAAAAGTACTCTTCGCAGCATGGTACTTCTATTACGTTGTCCACGATGTTACTGCATATGTTGCACTGCTGTACTGTGTGTGCGTTAATGAACCGCTCTTTGTTCAGTGGAATCGTTGCAGTATGTTGGCTGCTGCCTGTTGCATATACTGTCTCTCTTGGCACATCCAAACCACATTCCAGTTGTGTTGCTGATGTTTGTGAGGCGGGTTGTTGTGTTGGGGTGGCGGTTGCGGTGCTCACGCGTTTGTCCTGAGTGCGTGTTGTTTGCGGAGCGGCCGCGCGCCAGTGTGTGAGTTGCTTTGCGTGCCGTTTTCCCGTGGCCTTTGCTGTATGATCAGTACAAAATGAACAGGCTGAGCGTTGATGTGGTGTCCATTTCACAGGAGGGCCACAGCCACCGCCGCAGTGCATGGCTTTTTCGCTGGCTCTCTTCATGGCCCTCTGGCACAATACACATATGTATGGGGGTGTACTTGTGCATCATCTTCATCAATTTTTATCCCATGTACGGCTTCAAGCTGGGATTTATAAGATGCAACGGGATAACGGGTCTTCTGTGTGCATGTGGCGAATTTTCTGCCACCAACGCGACATACCTCGCCAAGATAAGATACGTGTGCGTCCATATCTTGTCGTAGCTGAAGGAAAACAACGGAATTTTGATGTTCACGTCTTTAGAAACGAATTCGCGTCTTGACAAAAAAATGTCGCAGATCGCTTCGTCAAGAACATACCTATGGCGAATCAAATCAACTAAGTCGATGCCAAAGTGATAACTACTTGATAATGGCCAAGAAAGCTTGTGCTAGTATCTGCGCAATTTCAGGTCGAGCGTGGAACACAACTTCGTTCTCTGCGAGGCAATTTGAATTTCGATCGTGGTGCGCGAGGTATGAAAGTGAAGCTAGGAAGGAGTCAAAGAAAAAGAACACGATTTCACCGTACAGAACCCAGTTTGGGCTGGGTAGTGACCTGCTTTAGAGCAGTATATCGATAAGTATTTCAGTAATCCACCACGGCCAGAGATTCAAATTTTCAAATTTCGGCAAAAAAAGGACGCCATTTTTAGTGGGCGGAAATCGTGCAAAAAAACATCCGTGAGTCATACAGCACAGCGCAGTTGTACAAGCGCATGATCGCGGGTACAAAGGGTTTCAAAAATACAAATAAATTATCATGAGAGCAGCTCAAACAACTACACGTTCGAAGCAGAAACAGAATAGAAGTGAGACAGAGAAGCAGAGTAGAACACGACTAGACAGAAGGAGAGAATTATCAGCGTCAGTAGAACAATAGCATGCATGGACACTCGTAATAACGGAACAGACGACATGGCTGAAAACTGGAGCATCTCCACGTGCGCTCGCAGCAATGTGACTCAGAGACAGAGGAAGATGAATAAATAAACAGACAAGGTAAGGTCAAAACGAGAATCATTCAAGAGGCTGTCTTGAAACATTTACAGAACAGGTGAGTGGCGACAACATTCTCCCACCTGCTAACGGATGCAGTTAGCCAACACATGACTCATGCACGGACATCAAGCACGCAGATGCGCGACACCGGGCGACGGAACGTTCCCATCGCTGTGCGGACGTCCACAATGCGGATCTTGCCATCCTTTCCGGGGTACACATTCTCCACGATGCCCTTCGGCCAGCAGCTTCGGGCCAACTGTGGATCAGCAATGACGACAACGTCGTTAACCTTGATCGGCTCTGCCGCCTTGAACCACTTGGTCCGGCGCGTTAGCGTGGGGAGATACTCTCGGACCCAGCGCTGCCAGAACATATCGATCATGGCCTGGGAAATCCGCCACTGCTTCCTCAGGCACTTCTCATCAAACTTCCCTGGCGCAACAGCTCGGTGGTTGCGGCCGAGCAGAAAGTGATTCGGCGTCAGACTCTCGGCATCTGCATGGTCGATAGAAACGTGTGTCAGTGGCCGGCCATTTACGATGCACTCAGCCCGGCCATGACGGTGGTCAGCACCTCGTCACGTGACACCCGTTCCTTGAGAGTCGCTTTCAGAGCGATCTTTACTGAGGGCACTAAGCGCTCCCAAGCGCCACCCATGTGGGGCGCGGCAGGAGGGTTGAAGACCCACTTGATGTTTCTGGGCGTCAGCTCACGCATGAGGTCACCGACATCTAGCGCTGCAATCGCCTCCGCAAGCTCCCGTTCAGCTCCTTTGAAATTCATGCCATTGTCCAAATACAGTACAGCAGGGTATCCGCGCCGAGCGATCATGCGGCGGATCGCCATGATACACGAGTCGGTTGTCAGGCTGGAGGCTATTTCCAGGTGCACGGCTCAAACTGTCAAACACGTGAATAGAACGCCATATCGTTTCTCGCGTCGACGCCCGACAGTCACCTCAATTGGACCAAAGTAGTCAACTCCCGTGTGGGAGAACAGGCGCTCGTACGCTGCGGTTCTGCACTCCGGTAGCGGCGCCATTACCGGTGGCTGCGGTGTGGCTGCGAGGTGACGGCACCTCAAACAGGAGTTCCAGGCACAGCGAACAGCGGCTCGAGATCTGGGAATCCAGTACTGCTGGCGTAAATCGTTCCGAACTTGTTCCTGCCCTTGATGACCTGCCCAGACGTGGTGCTGCAGGATGAGTAATCGGGTGTAGCGGTGGTCAGGGTCGAGTAACACTGGACGCTTTGTAGACTCAGGCAAGTGAGGCGTGTTGTCTGTTCTCCCGTGAACCACTATGGTGCTGTCCAATAGGGTCAGCGTCAGCGATGCCAGGCGGCTGCTGCGGGTGACTGGCTTGCCCTGCTGCAGCGCGGCGAGTTCGTCAGGGAACGACTGTTGCTGCACGTTCTCCCACCAGAGCTGCTGGGCATGTCAGAACTCTGATGGCAACAGTTCGCTACCGGGATTCACGGCTTTCTTGGCGACTCTAGCCTTCAGGTGCTCAACGAAGCGGGTCACCCAGGCTGTGGTGCGAACCAGACGCATCCATGACGAAAACCTGGCGATATCGGTGAGCGCTTCCTGCAGGGACGTCGTGGCGACAGTGGCCCCGCAGAACTCTCGCTTCAGCTCGGGGTCCGTGTCCTCTGGCTCCACTTCAGGAGCGGCGGATGGCCAGCTAGCTGGTACAGATGCCAGAACGGCTGGCGAGTTGCTGATCCAATGGCGGATGACGAAGCCTCTGTCCTTGTGGATGCGGATGACGTCAGCAGACAGTGCGGTGGCTTCTTCAACGGTGTCTGTGGAGTCAAAATAGTCGTCCATGTAGTGACGCTCGACTATGGCAGTCTGCAGCCGAGACGACGTCTGCGAGTGGCTGTGAGCATTGTGGTTCTTGACGAACATTGCCGACGAAGAGGACGATGTCGCACCAAATGTCATTGACTTCATCCTGAAGATGTCAGGTGGTTGACTCAGATCGGTCCGCCACAGGAACCGTTGGCTGTCTCGGTCAGCTTCACAGATCTGAACCTGGTGGAACATTTCGGCAATGTTGGCACCGAACGCAAAACGGCGCTCCCGGAAGCCGAACAGAAACGTTGGCAGTGGACGGAGCAGGTCTGGCCCAGACAGCAGCGCATCATTAAGGCTCCTCCCACCTGTCTTTGACGCCGCGTCAAAGACCAATCTCAACTTTCCGGGTTTATTCGGATTCACCACGTCAGGTGGTGCAGGTGGAGCACGCGCAGTCGGCGGATTGGCTTGTGTGACCTGACCCAATGTCTGGTGCAGCACTTGTTCATTCATGACCAGCTCGGACCACGCACGATGTAGCTGTTGTCGGGGTTGCAGCTCCCTAGCACCTGGCGAATCACCGAGGCTCGTCATGGGCACGGTCACAAATGGGGCTGCCTTCGCGTTCGAGCGGATCACTGGAGCTGGCGCTGACTGGCCTACAGCCGGAGCTGACTGGCGTACCGCAGGAGCTGGCGCTGACTGGCCTACAGCCGGGGCTGGTGCTGACTGGCGTAACGCAGGAGCTGGCGCTGACTGGCGTACCGCAGGAGGCGCTACATACTGAGAAGCAGGCTGGCCAGCTGCAAATGTGACCTGATGGCTGACCGGCTGCGGGGGAGCACTGTCTGAAGGGGCGGCTACACTACATGTGTGCTCCGCAGGGTGCAGAATGCCTGGCGGTGCCCTGTGCTCCGCAGACAGCTCCCGGGTACAAGAGGCACACTCCACAGCAGCACAGGCGGACTGTGCTGTGTTAGCACTGGGCGCCTGATCGGGGACGTAGGAGATGTCTTGGGTCCTCACCCGCTCTGCTACGCGTTCCACTTTACTGCTATCGACAACAGTGGCATGGGCTGGCTGCAGTGCCAGGCTCCTACTACTACCGGTAAGTCCACTGAGGACTGAGCTGCCTGCTCTGCTGCTGGCGTCTGCAATTTCTGCCAGCGCAACTTTTAGTTCCAAATCGACCAGCGTCTTTTTGCGGGCCAGCGCCTGCTCTTCGAGCACCCGAATTTTCTTCGCTGCTTCTAGCTGAGCCTGTGCTCGAAGCAGTCGCCGGCGAGTTGCAGAGCTGGACGACGCACGCAGCACCTGGTAAGACATTATGACACTACTACTAGACTGACAGTTACTGAAACTGCGGCCGGACTAGAATTGACAACAAACAAACAAATTGACACTACGAAAGAGGACTGTACTGAAGCTACAAGGTTGAGTCGAAGTAAGGCTCGAAGGACCAAATCCGGCTCGAAGGACCAAATGTTACAGGCAAGAATTCAAAATTCCGATACACGTGCACAGGCACACTCTCCGAACGCAAATGGGACAACACACCATTACTAGACGTTCTGGATTTCTCCTTGCAAAAACACTTCAACCATAACCGCCATAACTCTAAAACCAAAACTGCAAAAGGAAGCAAAAAAGGGCCAGCAAAGGCACAGCGCGTTTGCGCCACGACATACACGGACACGTGACACAAAAGGCATCATAGCTAGTGCGAGCATGACTCATAGTCATAGCTCAGTCATACAGCACAGCGCAGTTGTACAAGCACATGATCGCGGGTACAAAGGGTTTCAAAAATACAAATATATTATCATGAGAGCAGCTCAAACAACTACACGTTCGAAGCAGAAACAGAATAGAAGAGAGACAGAGAAGCAGAGTAGAACACGACTAGACAGAAGAAGAGAATTATCAGCGTCAGTAGAACAATAGCATGCATGGACACTCGTAATAACGGAACAGACGACATGGCTGAAAACTGGAGCATCTCCACGTGCGCGCTCGCAGCAATGTGACTCAGAGACAGAGGAAGATGAATAAATATACAGACAAGGTAAGGTCAAAACGAGAATCATTCAAGAGGCTGTCTTGAAACATTTACAGAACAGGTGAGTGGCGACAACAACGAACTTGGTATGGCCTTCGTGCTGTGATATTCGTGTATTTCATTCGCAATTGTATTTTCTCTCAACTTGAAGGGCTACCATGGGCCCTATCCTTGCCATGACCTAGTCATATTTGAATTTTCTGGACGCGTTCAGGCATACAGATTTTGAAAATATAATTTACCCATACCTACATCACATGGTTCTTGAGTTATTGCTGGTTGTGTGTACAAGTATTTGCGTGACCCCCCCCCCCCCCCCCCGCCCCTCACATACATTGAGTTAGACCGGCAAAGGGTTAAGACCCGTGCCGCCCCTTATTTACTACGACATTAATAGCTCATTATCCACATGTCCTTTGCGTCTCTGTGTTTTTCACTGTTTTTATTTGACATTATCTTTCTTTACGGAGTTGTTGTTGCTGTTCATTTTGCTACTCCTTCTTTTCCCTCCCGTCAGGCGAAATAGCACGTCACCGTACATTTGAGATCAGCGGGAAGAAGATGACGACGTCCACTAATTTAGTATCTGTGCACACGAATCTGCTGTGTGTGTGACTCTGTGTGTCAGCTATGATAATTATTATTATCAAGCATGCCAAGCATGTACGTCTGAACCATCCTGCAAAGTTTGAATGACGTAGGTTGAGCGATCGCTCCGCGAAATATACTTTTTGAAATTCTCTTCATAGTATATCTTCCACCATTGAAATTTCGAATTTCTTCAAAAAAAGTGCTGAGAGGGGTGGCTTGCAACCTCGATATGGCTTGTTCCAGGTATGCTTTGGAGCCATCTTCTGTTGAAGTAGTGGCGGGGATCTGCCCTGCAACTGCTATAACAAAAAATGATTCGATCTGAGGAAGGGTGAAACCGCGAATCTCGGTTGAATATAGAGTATTTCAAGCCTTTTCACGACGAAGATGGAGTTCTTTTTGGAGATGGACGTCGCGGCAAAGGACATGGTGTCCGACTTCTGGCGTCTGGTGAAGCCAGGGATCATTTGTCCAGTCAGGTCGCCAGCCTAACCGTCGGTAAGCTTGTGTTTGGATCCCGTTCTGCTCGATGTGGTACATCACAAACAATTTGATATCGCACAAATTGATCTCAGCATCGTGCGTACGGTATTTTATATTCAGAAAATCCCAAAGTGTCTCTGTGTGGCCGTCCTATGCCACGAGAAACTCCAATCAGGCTCCTATGTCCTCTGCCTTCATGATTGAATGTCCACTTCGTTTGAACAACGAACACAACAATCGAGGACGGCTTTTGCTGAAAAAAAGAAGAAAAAGACGTGCTCAGGATGAGACTCGAGTACACGCATACTCTCCCCGCAGGTGAAACGCAACTTTTTGTGAAAAATGCGCGACGCCGACTGACCAGTAATTTCGCCTGACGCCTTACTTCTATTTATCGCCGTGGTTGGCAAACACCCACTCTCTTAACATTGGCCGGTGTTTCCACCAAGTCTTGAGATGTTGTAATAAATATATACTGGAGCTGAAAAAAAGAAGAAAAAACGTGCTCAGGATGAGACTCGAGTACACGCATACTCTCCCAGCAGGTGAAACGCATTTTTTTGTGAAAAAATGCGTGTCGCCGACTGACCAGTAATTTTGCCTGTTCTGGTAACGCCACTCTCCACCAAAGCATGCGCAATATGAGAGGCAGCCGCAGAGAAAGAGAATCAGCTAGCAGAACAGGCGAAACAGATGAAACAAGTGTATCTTGAAAAATCAGGCTTCTAGTCAAAACCGGCTTCTATAATAAGACAGGCTTTAATACGAGGCGAGTTTCCAGAAAGCAGCCAGTCTCACCAACATAATTTTGGGGACATTCTTTGCACTTCAGCTGATATATAACATCTCTCAGCATACATACATACATCATGTCCCCCGGATACACACACTTGAACAAGTTCTTCCATAACCCTTTAAGAGCCGCCCCATACTTGAATGCGTCGTAAACGACGCATTCAAATGCAAAACTTCAAAAGATCGTAACTCGGTCCAATCTCGCTCAAATCCAGTGTTCAAATTATCCAGGGAGAAGAAAAAACTCTCACCTGTCGGCAGAAACAATCCGCGAAGCGCTGCGAGCAACGGTTCCTGAGATAAATCACTCGTAAGTTGAGCCGCGATCGCGGCAATTTCAAAAGCGCGCAGTGCGACTTTAGTATTGAGAATTTTGAGACTTTTCGTCACGCTGGTTTACTCGAATTTGCACGGGTTTCACTGTTGATATTGTCAAGAGTACACAGCGAAAAAATTGGAACTCCACGATCGAGTAAAATGAAATATCTGGAGCGGGACGCAATTGGACGCATTTGGGGCATTTTTCGTACTGTCGCTGCGATCTAGCGCTGGATAGACGGTGTGCTGGCTATCATGATCGACCTCATTCTCTTCCTCTCGCAGAGACCTTTCCAGGAAGCCCTGGATTGTGAGGATTGAGTGAGTAGAATTGAAGCTATGATCCAAGGAACACGAAAAAATGCAGAATTTTGAAATGTTCCTGTGGCTCTTAAAGGGATAAGAAGGATTGGTAGTGGTTGTTTTATGCAAATCCTTTGACGTTCTAGCCCAAGACCAGTGACTCAGTGTGATGAGACAAATATCCCATAAACCAAGACATGAAGCTGCATATTGCCTCTGAATGAAGGTCACTCATGCTCACATAACAACTGAACCGAGTTTAAGTAGACGGAGGCAAGAGGGCAGTTATCGAAAGAAACACAGCCAATCGACAACCACCAGCAACGGGTCGTAGTATTCCAGAATTTATCATAGACTTCTTCTGGTAGTTGAGCTCAATTTTGCTACTGTGAGCTGCTTCATTCTCTTCACTTGTATAGCCCAAACAGTAACAAATAGTGAATTCTGGAGAAAAATAATAATCTTGTCAAATTGAAACGAAGTAAGTTGGTTATCGATTGGGTGTGAGTTGTTTTCTCACGATGGATTTAGCCATAGCTGTATACCGTAAAGTCCGCTGCAAACGCCCACCCCATTTTTCAAGATCTGCTGGCCTATACGCACTGACCCCATGCACTTTCACACCAACTGTACGAAAGTGCATCTCACACCGTGGAGGAGCGCTTTGCTACGGCAAACTATGTCCATTTTCCGGGTTTCAAAATGTTTTGGGCACTAGTTACGAGCTAGCTCCTAGCGATTTTATGATGTTGGTTGTTTTATTTTGCAGATCCAAACGGGAGTTACTTCGGAATAACAAGGTAAAGAAGAACAGGCTATTGCAGGAACCAAATACACTTCTGACGATGTTTCCATCCATCATTTTCAAATCACGCAATGCGCAAAGGCAAGGGTTTTTCTCGACCACGTCAGAGTTTTCAACAAGTTAGCAGCGACTTTGTAGGTACAAGTGTACTAGTAGCTTCTGTGACATCCAGCCTGTTCGACTTGTAACTGCAATACTGCGACCTGTCAAGTCGTTGAATGACGCTTCGTCAGAACAATCACCGTTCCATTCTGAAAGCGCGACATCGTGGCACTCCAGAAATTTCATGATTTGAAAACCAGATGGATTCTATGGCATTATTTCATGAAGAACGAACTAATAGCAAATACCACTCATGCATCATATGAAAGGTATCGCGACCGAAGTTATTTTCTTTGCATCAAGGTAATGACAATCGATTTTGCAGAGACTCTTGGTAAGACATAGGCAGTTTGTAGGCATTATAGCAGTTCTCGTACGCATTCGACCTTCATGCCAGTTGTCTACACCTATATTGACCTGAAAAAGGCCGAAATACAGTTGCGCTCGGTGAAATCCGGCCCGAAGTGCAAAGCCGGCGCCGCGAAGCCAACTCCCATTACATCACTGGCGATTTGTGTGTATGAACTCAACTGTACGCACCTCGTGTAAAAGTTCGGAGTGCACGTGTACGTGTTACATGCTAAAAACAGTTCAAAATTTCTTTCATTCACTTCACTCAAGCACAGCAGGATCTTCTCGATAGCGGAGTACCCAACAAGGCAACATCCTGTTTCAACCTCCCTGCTCGCGGGACATGAATCAAATCGAGAATGTGTGGGCTCTTCTCCAGAAGAGAATAATTCCACATCGCTGCGAGAATGCTGACCAGCTGGTGCAGGTACTGCACCTGGAGTGGGACTCGTTGGGTCCTGAACCGGTTTCCCCATACTTGGAGTCAATGTCACGTCGTGTTGAAGCCCTAATCGAAGCTGACGGTGGCCACACAAAATATTGAAGCCCTGCTGTTCTGTGTATGAAATAAACTGCTTCGAAACGATCTCCGTCTTCTTTACTTCTGCTGAACTGAAATGAATGTTACACTTGTCTTTGTTTGGCGCGGTTTTTTACACTTTGGTGTGCATGCGTATGACTCTGAGTACAGCACATGCACAGTTCATACGGCACACGCGCACACTAGCACTTGTACAACTTTGAGGGCGTCAAGGGCCGCATCAGTACTGGGCGCCAGTTATGCACTTCGGGCCGGATTTCACCGAGCGCAACTGTAGTATGGACCCGCTGGGGTGGGTGTTTGCAGCAAAGTGGGCGTTTGCAGCGGACTTCACGCTACTACTGAACATGTATTGCCTGTATTACCATTATCCGGACCATCGTGGGCATACTTACAGTCTTTCCAAATGTCTCGTCGTCATCACTCTTTTCAAGTTCTTCGGCGGGAACCAGGAGATGTTGTTGTGTTGGAGATACCTAAAGTGTACAAAAGATAAATGCAATAGATGACTTGCACAAAGACTGTCTGGGTTCGAGACAGGGCAAGTGGACCTTCTGTCGTTCTGACTCTGCACTTCCCCATCTTTTGAGTTCGTGACTTTCGAAGTTTCGTTTTTAGCCTGACGAACACTGAGCTAGTTTATTTGGCTAGAGAGTAGAGTTATTTTGATTCGACTTGTATCGACATGCCGAAGCGCTGCTGCGCTCCTGAATGAACTAGCAGACGAGAGATGGAACTGAGGCTCCCATTCCATACGTTCCTTTCCGAGCCGGCCGGGCGGGAGGCAGAAAAATGAGGGAATAACGTTATTATTTTAGTATCATTGGTGTAGGCTGCAACAAGCACGTCGTGGTCCTGAAGTGTGACTACTTTCCCGCAGTGGAAGCGAAGTGAAGCACAACGAAAGTTTGTTGACGTCTGAGGAAGAACTCGATTCCCTTTCAATCGGCTGCACTAGCTCCAGAGCGACCCTCTCCTGAGGACAGACTGCGGAGAGGCCAGGAATCTGCCGAGTGACGAGTGGAAGCCGAAACCATGAAAATGAAGGGTGGAAGGACTGAGTATGAGAGCCAGATGTCCTTTAGTAGTACTTCAAGTAGTATCTGAGTTGAAGGAGAGAACAAGTGTGCTGGAGAAACGCTGCGAAGTCCTCAGGCCTGATGTGTACTAGCTACTGTTGAAGTCTCACTTGTTCCGATATGAACATTTCATCAGCCCTTACTCTGAGCAGCTGTAATTAGACTTGGATCTAGGCCAGAAACATAGCATTGTAAACCTTACTGAAGCCATTATGTATCAGAAGGCCTGGCTCTAGTGAGAAAGCAGTTTGGTGAGGCTTGCAAACTATGATTGAATCAGGGAGTGGTGGAAAGTCACATTATACCTCTTCATGATTATCTGGTAATGACGACGATGCGGCTCCGGCTGGGTCTCATGGGAAAGTAACTTGCATACCTGTTTAGTTGCAACGAGGCAGCGGTACCCCATGTACTAAAGACATGATTGATCTACATTTCATCTCCTGGGAGAATGTGGAACAAATAATGCCAGAGTGTGTCTGATACACATCACAGTCTGCTGAGTATGTTCATTATTGTGGACGTAACATGTGAGGTACCTTCTGCGTTGGACCTACAGTTGAGCCACTACTCTTTGTACAAATTCCGTACAACGGTGAAAGGATTTGTTGGAGCATCATCAAACAGTGCATTCGCCTTAATCATACACTGGCTCCGTTGCCTACAGTAATTCACATCTTGACGGGATGCGCTGGGACGATACGGAAGGAGCGGCGGGAACCATTGGAGTGCTCATGATGCTGGTTAGCGGAGACGGATGTGAGTGTCAGGAATGGGAACGCACCCGCACTACTGTACAGATCAGGAAGCGATGGAAGAGTTGAATCTGTTCAGCCTTCCATGCCGTGTACAGGGACACAAGCGTAAAAATGGCTACATTTCGAATGTGAACTGGCGATGGCATTGTGTGGCGACGAACACAACTGCAACTGTTCAAATTTCAGCATTTCGAACATTATGCTTCCCACCGAATGGCTCACATGACGGAGTTGGACATTACCAGGCTAGGATTATCATTTGCTGTATTTATGGATAGTCCTTGAGTTTTCAGATGAAGTGCTTTATCTTTTACCTGTCGTTCCTTTAGTGTGGCACAATGTTCATGGCTGCTTTCTTGTCTTCATAACAGAGTGGTATAATCAGCATGATTCTGCTTTATAAGAGAAGAAATAAAAAATTTCCTTTCGGAAAGGAAGCCCAGAAACGTCAACCCCCATGGACTGTGCTTTATGACTCTCGTCCATCGACGTTAACCGTCGCAATAACTGCTGCATGTATGCTGCGCTGTGCGAACCGCATAAGATTTTAACAGCTCATCCACGCCTTCCCAACAGGCTCCAATATCCCGTACCGATAGCGTTACATTGAATATGAACTAGGCTAGCACAGTTATCCTTTGATGGCGGCGGGTAGCATGCAACTTGACGTGTTCTTGGGATCCTCGTGGAACACTTGCTGTTCCCGGATGCCATATTATTGGTGCATCGAGGTTGCTTCTATGCTCACTGTTGTTTAGTAAGACAATTTTTTAATAACTATTTCACCGAAGAATATGGCAAGAGTATTTTGGGTTGGTTTGAACGCCTGGCTTCTCTTCACATAACAATACAGTCATGTACTTCCACTAACCCTACAAGTGCACATGATTCATGAGCTGCTGAAGACAGTGACGGTGCACGGCATGTACATGTACATCATGTACATGCTGTGCACCGTTCATTCATGCTGACAAAAAAAGTACACTACAGACGGTGTAGGGTGCCCGCAGTGTAGCCTGGGTGCACAGGGTGCACTTGCCCCGTCCCACTCGCGGCTCGGATCTTTGTGCAAGTCATCTATTAGGTAAAGATGCATAAAGTGCCCCTACTGCATTGAAATGTTGCTATGAATCCTGAATTTTTTCACCTAAACGCGCATGCGCGATCAGAGTTCATTTGCCAGAGTCTTTGTGTTTGACTAGGTCTTGTAGTGTTTGAATTCTTTATTCTCACGATGGCACCATCGCCAATAAGAGATAAATTGATGAGAAGGTGAGATTGTGGGTTAAACAGTTGGAAAGTGATTTACATCACTTTGAACTTTACAAGTATGGGAGAGGGTGAGCGCTGCAGGAGCAGATTGAGTTAATCAGCAGTGAGCAGATTTCTTGTTTGAAAGCAGGTCGGGAGGAGACGTCACGAATGCTAGCAGGGAGGGTATTGTAGTATTCTAGGGACTTGTACAGTGGGGAGTCTTTGCAGCGATCGGTTCTGGAGGGTGGGAGGTGCCAAGTCGTCCGCGAACTGGCTACACGAGGTTGTAGCATTTTCACAGGCAGTGGGCAGGTCAATGGTGTACACCAGGAACAGAAGTGGTCCCAGGACCGAGCCCTGGGGCACTCCTGCTGGTATTGGTATGAAGGCGGATGTTGTGCCTTCAACCTGCACCCGCTGTCTGCGTCCTGTCAAGTAGGCTTCGAGCCAATTGTGAGCCTTGCCGTCGACACCATAGTGGCTCAGCTTTTTCAGCAAGCCTTGATGCCATACGCGATCAAAGGCTTTACTGAGATCGAAGAAACACGTTACAACATGCTTCCCCGCATACCTAGCTGTGGATATCTGGTGGACGATCCGTGCGAGTTGCAGTTCGGTCCCGTCTTGTTTCCTGAAGCCGGATTGGTTGGAGGGTAAGTGCGGTGCTATGTGATTGTACAGACGAGAGTGGACTGTTTTTTCTTGTGTTTTTGATATTATACTGAGCAGGGAGATGGGTCGGTAGATGGTAGGATGGGAGGGGTTGCCCGACTTGGGGATGGGTGTAATAGTTGCGTCTTTCCAATCCTGTGGTATTTCTCAGGTTCTGAAGGACAGATTGTAGAGACTAGTGAGAGATGGGGAGATTTCCTTTGCAGTTTCTTTCAGGAGCAGAGTTGGGATGTTGTCAAAGCCTGGGCTCTTGCCAGTGTCTAGACTGCATAGAAGCTTCTCGACCTCTTCCACTGTTGCTGCGATTGTATTTAGAGTGTGACTGATGTCAGGGGTAGTGTTGATGTCTGGTGTAGTATAGGCGGTCTTGTCGATTGGCTGTTGGCTTTGGGAGATAAAGAACTTGTTGAGAGCTGTTGCCTTCTCCATAGCCGTGGCTGCAGTGGAGTTGGCTGTCGATAGTGTGGGAATTGTTTGCTTAGGCGGTTTTTTCAGGTGCTTCAGTAGACGGTGGAGGTTTGTACCCGTTGACGTTGTTTGCTGGACAAAGTCGGACTTAGCCTGTCGCAAAGGATCGGTTACTCGGTTACGCTGGGCTGTGTACAGTTTCCAATCTGAGTCTAGTTGGGTCGCCTTGTAGGTGCGGAACTGTTTGTGCTTTGTTTTGATCTGGCTGAGGAGATCCTTCGTCATCCAGGGATTAGTGGGCGTAGAATTTTTGCGGGACTTGCTTCTGGTCACTTGGCAGTGGTGCACGGCTAGTTTCAGTATCTGGTCTCTCCAGAAGTTCCAGAATGAGGTTACTGGCTGAGTGTTGTTGTTGTTGTTTATTTTACTTCACCAAATAAACAGGCAGAGATGCCTTCTCACCTGCCCATAGGACAGGTTCTCACAGAATGATGAAGGGATGATATGCAAAGGAAAACAAGAAATGATAATAATATAAGATAGAAAGGACCAAAAGAAGAAAAGGAAAAAATTATATGAAGACAATTTCATGGAGTCAGAAATAGAAAGACAATAATTTCATGGAGTCAAAGAATAGAAAAACAATTTCATGGAGTCAGGAATACGTGGTTGATTTTATAGACATGCATGCACAAATGATTCATAGATGAGAAGGTTGGAGTTTATGGCAGATTGTTGTGAAACCACAAGTTCTCGAGAGTGAAAGGCCTTCTCGCTTGTGACATTGTGTTCGTTCCAATGCAGTTGTTTTCCGACTCCGCCGTACCGTTGATGTTTACGACGTAGTATGCGCTACATGCGCTATGTGCGGTTTGCTGAGTGCGCTGTAGTTGTATGTTGTATGTGTATGCTTGCTTTCTCATATACGCTGTCATTTTCACGCTATAACTACCTGGTGGTTTTAGTGTTAGTCATTCAGTTAGTTCAGTTGTTTCAGTTGTTCCATTCATTGTTCATTGGTACTAGTCGATGGAAGTGAGATATACTGTTGAGAATAAATAGTTGTCCTCGTGCCGTGTGGGGTCGTTCGTTCCTAATACTTTAGAGAACCAGAGGGTTCACAACATTTGGCGACCACGCCAGGATACGAAGCGAGCATGGCACAGGAACTATGGATCATTGAAGCCAGCTTTATCGCCAACGGAATTCGGTATGGATTTGAAGGCGATAGGTTGAGAGAATACGTGGAGAAGAGGCTCCGACAGAGCGAGGAGTTTGAAGAGCGAAGTGCTAGACGGCAAGAGT